CACTTCCGTACTTTGGTTCCTTCACTCTCCCATTGATGTATCCTATTTTCCCCCTAGCAATGATGTAGAGTTTTATTCCCCTAGACCACTCAAGGTAGTTCAGACCATCAAAGGGAATAACAGCCATGGGAAAACTCATATCCATTCCCCCACTCACTCCATTGTGGCTCCTTGAAATCTCTGAAATAGCAGAATTCTCAGACGACATGGTCAAAACAGGTAATAAGTCCCAAACACCGGACTTAGGACCCCTCCTTACTCCACAAAAAAATGCTCCACTCAGTCCACACCCACACATTTGGGTTTGAAAATAGGCTGAGCACAAACAGTACCAATTTCAGGACAAAACAGAAACAATATTCGGCAGATTTCAGACCTATACGGTTTTAATAGTCCCAACCTACCAGCCTTCCAGAATGTCTAAAACCATTAATCAGCAAGAGAGATCCTTATCACTTATAATCAAGTCAAACTATTGAGATGACAGGTCATCCTTGACCTACAGTCGTCTTAACACATRAACAGGATCACACGATCCAAAGATAACAGAGGTATAAAGATCCGACAGCATTCAGCAGCCCATGTTCATTTGGTTTTTTACTTGGTACACAACCAAGGAGGGTAAAGAAGAGAAAACGGAAGAACTGTACCAGTTGTAGAGTTGTTTTCCTCAGTCCAGACTCAGATCTCTGTTCCGCCCAGATTCAGCAAGTCTGTTTGATCTGTTCTCTTAGTGAAGCTTGTTCGATCTGCTCTCTCAGTCAGTATTCCTGCTCTGATACCATCTTGACAGTATGGCCCGCCAGAAATAAGAGGAAGAGAAGAGAAGAGAAGAAGAAGAGAGAAGGGAGAAGAGAAGAGAAGAAAAGAGAAGAGAAGAGAAGAGAAGAGAAGGAATTTGCAATGTAACAGTGCTAGCGGCGCCAGCTTTTATTATAATATATATAGGGCGGCAGAAATAAGAAGGGAAAAGACCCTTGTGCCCTTGCTATAAGTGAGTACAATAACAGACATAACAGAAGTGAAAAAATAGAAATAAAAAACACTTTAACTAGCCAAACAGACCCTAATACCAACAACTAAATTATTTCAACACACTGCTTAATCCCAATTCATCCTGTAAGATCTTTGGAAAATAACCCATCTTCCAGATTTTTCCTCCTTTTCAGTGTGTGCATTTGCTGGTTGTAGCTCACATCGTAGAAGTATAAAAAAAAAGAACCTTAAAGATAGTATTACAAGGCCAAATACAGAAACAAGATGGTTGGTTGCCATGAACGGAAGAGGTAAATTTTTTATCCAAAATTCTCCTAGTTGAGTCCTCTTTAATGGTAGGTCCTATCAACTAGTTGAGATGCAAGGCATGATTGAACTGGTCATATGCGTGGCTTTAGTGTTCTTGCATAAGTAAATAAATGATAACTTATCAGAGAAGTGTATCACATGAGTTCAATTTCTGACCTTAAACCGATTGCCCAAGAGCAATGCAACATGTCCACTGGTAATCTTGTGGTCGCCAACAGAAGAATCAAGGTTGAAATCTATGTCAGGCATTGATGTAAACCCAAACCACAACTGATCAGAAGGGGGTGGCTTTATAAACAATCGCACTGTTCCTCGAACTGATGCAACCCTTATTGCCAAAGAAAGAGGCACCTTCAAATAGGAAAAAAGGACATAGTTTAGTGTGTACTGTGTTTTTATTCTTGGGGGGATTTCATTTTCTTTTTGGTAAGAGAGAGAATACTTTCAACTTTCACAATACTTTCATAATACTAATTGTAATGTTAATTGTACCTGCCATCGATGAAAATGAACAGGTAATAGTAATAGAATGCCTAGAGTTTGTTTCATGTTCTCTGATTTTTCTATATTTGGTTCTCTTGCCCTACATATTTAGTTATACAGTGTTTTAAAACTGACCCAGAGGCTGACCTGATTTTCCCTCTAGTTGGCGGGTCAGCAGTTCAACCAGCCAGTTTAAATTTTTATTTTAGTTTTAATTTTTTATAAATTAAGGAAGCTAACAATTGATATTTGAGGTCAAAAAAGGCATTTTTTGGAAAAAAATACTGAGTCAAGGCATCTTTGGTGCCTTGCTTCACATAGATCGCAAAAAATTATCCAAAATCAAAAAAAAAAAAGAAACACCAAGCGCAAAGTTATGGTCTCCAGAAGTTTGCATATATTAGGTTTAATTTTTGATAACACCACCTATATGTATATAATTATATAATGCAGAAACTAATATATTCATAAATACATAATTTCATATATGCCCCACATACATAGATATAAGTTTTATTAAAAAATTTTAAACTTGAAAAAAAAACATATATTGTAATTTGTAACCTATGACCCATTGACTGGGTTAAGCAGGTCAATGGTTCAATAAATTGGGTCAGCGGGTTTCTGACCATGTCAACAGTTTTTAAGGTAGTAGTGGGTTTAGGGTTAACCCAAACTAGAATCACGACCCTATGACAGGTTCAATGGTTCAACTGGCCAAGTCAACAATGGGTTGAAAACACTTAGATATACCCCTCTTCTGGAGAATTGTTCACATTGCTTCATCAGACTAAACAATCATCACCCAATGTTGTCTTTCTTGAACAGAGTAAAATGCAAAAATGAAGCTGGATGGAAGCACATAATAAAACTGACATGGTTTTTTTATTCTCTATTTTCCTTTTTTAAATTTGTAAGTTCCGTTAATCTCACTGCTGTCCTACTGCATCAATTTGGTATTTGGAGAAAATAGTTTTTCATTATGCTTTCCATAGTTGTCAAGGCAACACCTAGATGATAAGGTGCTCATGGAGGGTTGCCTTGCTTAGTTTCTAAATATTTTTACACAATGCTCTTGGATACTTTTATATTCTTAAATTTTTGTGATTATAATAATAAAATAGACATTACTAAACTAAATTGTTCAGTTTGAGATAAAATACGAGATTCATTTTGTTATTTTTCTTATTTGTTAGGGTTCAATCAACATGTATACTGCCTTGAACCCTCGAAGACTTCAAAACATAAGCTGATAAGCATGGAACTTACCTTCCGGGAAAAAAATGACTCAATCAGGTCATCAGGTTATTAACCAAGTCAACAGTTTTTATTTTTTTTTGCAACAAGCGTATATAAGTAGGAAGATTTAAAGCTCGGTCTATAGGTCAAGAGGCAAAATCCACCACTATACCATGCTTCCATTACTTGTTTTTGTCACATGGGTTTTGATAAGGGCACCGGAACTATTATCATCTTCAGCATCTGAAATTGCTACGTGCAAAAGATGTACACATATTCTAGTTAAATGAGATACCCGTACCCATTTTTTCGTCCATAGTTTTAGGAAATAGAGTCATGTCAGAATTTCCCATGTTATACATAATCTAAGTATTGTAGGTTTTGACAGGGAACAATTGCTTTTCAAGTTTAGTCTTCTCCTGGCACAAGACTCAACCTTGAAATTTCCACTCTTCTCCCATCTCCATAACCTATGGTCATCCATGCTAGGACTTTGGGCAGTGCCTTTGAAGTAACTCCAGGAATGCCACAACTTAATTCCCCATTCATTACAAATTCCTTTTGAACTGAGCAAACCATACTGTTGCATACAACTTCAAAGTGCTTGACCACATGACTCTCCTTGTTATCAGAAACTGCAAATAAGTTGGGGAGGGTGGATTTCAAAAGTCTTGACCATACTATTCATCCAACCAGAAGTAGGCATTACTGTATTAAAGCCATCCCCACTTTTTAGTTTCTTACATTTTAAATATGGAAAAATAGTGGTGCTGGAACTCTTATTTTCTTATTGTTGGATATATGTTATATAAATGTCTATGTAATTCTTTTCCACCTACATTAGGATTTAATTTCTTTTGAAGGGTGTTAAAAAAATCTTTAGAAAATGCATAGGGTTAGATGCTTAAATGCAAAAAATGTTCACAAACCTGAGAGACTTGGTTGGCAATGGATTTTAATATTGATTTCCACCTTGATTTGTAATTTGATGTCCAACTTGTGCTCTTTGAGTTCCTCAACCCATCTGCCACAGATGACATCTTAACCTCAAAACATAGCATAAACATCATGTAACATCAATTAAATTAACTTGGGACTATATAAATGTAGTTAAATTGTGGCCTAAATGGACAATGAGAAATACTATAGTTAATAAAAATTTAAAATAATTATGGGGTAGCGAGCACATTTTGTTAAAACAATATTATTTTATAAGGTGGAACCTGCATAAAATAAAATTCACGGAATAATTAATAAAATGTAAAAAAGAAAAGGTGTAAAATGATCACCTTGTTTTAGCATACAAAAGTGAAAGTGTTAGCTTTCACATTAGAGAAGAAAAGAGAGAAGAAGGTTGAAAGAAATCTAGTGACAACACCTCTATCCTGATCTTATTATTTATGAAAGAGTTTTAAGAGATGGAGTACAATTACAAAATCTGCCCCTGATTAGTAGGCAGAAAAGAACATATTAGTACAATAGAGCCCCAGGCCCACTAATCCTAAGAAAGAAGCATAAAAAGGGGACCACATAACATAACCAATAAAATCCCAAGCCCAAAATGCTAGGTCTCACAACAGTGCCCCTCAAGCTGAGCATAGATAGCTTTTATACCCAGCTTCCAATAACAGCTACATAAATCTTGCCTTGGTGATCCCCTTGGTAAAAATATCAGCCAGTTGTCTTGTAGATGGCATATAAGGGATACAAAGGTCCCCAGAAACATTTGTTTCTCGCACAAAGTGTGTCAACCTCAATATGTTTTGTTCTATTGTTGGGAATGTTGATGGCAACTTGATTATCAATACAGCTTAGAGGACCAGTCACATCTATCCTCAACTCTTTTAGAAGAATCTGAAGCCAAAGTAATTCAACAACTCCATGAGCCATAGCCCTACATTCAGCCTCAACACTTGATCATGCTACAACAGTCTGTTTCTCACTCCTCCAAATAACAAGATGACCACCAAGAAAGGTACAATATCTAAATGTAGACCTCCTATCTCCAAGAGAACCTGCCCAATCAGCATCAACATCAACATAATCTTCCACCTCTATTCTGTCATGTTTCTTAAACAGTAATCCCTTCCCGGAGCTGTCTTGAAGTATCTCAAGATCCTTTCCACTACCTTCATAGGTGGAACTCGTGGAGCATGTATAAATTGGCTAACCACATGAACTGCATATTGAATGTCAGGTTTAGTGAGAGATAAATAAAGTAGTTTACCAACTAATCTCCGATATCTCTCTTTGTCAAGATACAGTTCCCCATCATCTTCCTGCAACCCATGATTCTACTCTATCTCTATGCCTTTATGGGAATATCTGCTAGTCTGGTTCCTAACTTCCCTGTCTCCTTTAAACGGTCCAATGCATTTTTTTTTTGAAAATGTCCAATGCATTTTTCACTTGGCAGTTGCAGATTCCCTCACTAGATCGGGCCACCTCTATTCCCAAGAAGTATTTTAGAGGTCCCAAATCCTTGATTTCAATTTTTTAGGCTAAGAAGTCTTTCAACTTTTGAATCTCATCCGAATCATTTCCAATAACCACCAACCATATCATCAACATAAACAATCAAGGATGATCACACTTTGTTCTATCAAGACTGCGGCTAGAAGGGATGTAGGAATTGGCAAAAGCTTGGGTTTGCTCTTCTAGGGAGGTGAGGAATTCACTTTAAAAGCCTTTGAAGAGTTTGAGAGGAAGAAGGAAGAAAGATCAAGAAAAAGGGTAATTGGAGGAGGGAGATGGGATGGAGATGGCAACAACCAAGAGGTAGTAGTAGGTGATGGGGAAGATTAGATTCTCCTTTATGCTTTTTTCTTTGTTCGTTTGTAGTTGTCCTTGTTGTTTCCAGTCTAGGATTTGATGCCAAAGGAGTTAGTTTTGTTATTCTCTTTCTAGAGTCTTTTGGTGGCTATTGTCTAGTGTAAGAAGTGTCCAAATAGCCTTTCCTTCTCTTGGGTGAGTTCTTATCACCTTCCTTTGTAATTCTTTTTATTTTAATGAATTTTGCTCTTTACTTTTCAAAAAAAATAATAATAATAATCTTTCGAACCAAACCCTTAGAGATTGTTTGAGGCCATATAAGATCCTCCTTAATTTGCACATGTTTCCTCTCATGTCATACCCTGAAGGAGGATTCATGTAGACTTCTTGTAGATCTCCATTTAGCTGCAAGAGAGTAAAACCTATATAGTCAACTAAAGCAAAGGTCTTCTTATAATCAATACCTTCTTTTTGGTGAATCCCTTTTCAACTAATGTAGCTTTATACCTCTCGATAGGACCATCAGCATTGTGTTTGATTGTATACACCCACTTGCACCTAGGGGTGGATTCGAGTCGAGTCGAGCCGAATAGCTAGCTATTCGAGCTCAGCTTGCCAAGAAGCATGAGGCTCAAGCTCAGTTCGAGCTAGAGACTTGAGCTTGAGTTCAGCTCAAGTCAAAAGCTCATAAGCTCAAGCTCAACTTGGCTCGAGCTCGACTGTGAGCCAAATGTTTTATAAAAATAAAAAGTTACATATAAAAGAAAACATTTTTTATTTGATATTTAAAATTAAGAATTATAATAATTAGTTATTATTATTGTATATAAAAATAAAAATATTTTATATATATATTATTTTTTATATGTATAATATTTTTATATTTATTATTTTATATGTAGAAGCTTGATTAGGTTGGCGAGCCAAGCTTTATTAGGCTCGAGCTCGGCTCGATTAGCAAACGAGCTTGTAAATTGGAAAACCAAGCTTCAAGCTGAGCCGAGTTCAAATAGCTTGTGAAAAGCTCAACTCGTGGCCACCCCTACTTGCACCCCGCAATGCTCTTCCCAACTGGTAGATACACTATCTCCCAAGTGTTTGCCTTTAACAAGGCTTTCATTTCCTCATCCATAGTTTCCATCCATTTGGGATCAACAATAGTCTTTAAGTACCTAGAAGGAGTAACAACAAAGGACAAGGCAAAGACAAAAGAGTTATAGGCATGAGACAAATGGCAATATGAAACAAATTTATTTATAGGATGAAGAGTGCATGAATGAATAGGTTTTCGCTTAGCCTTAGAGGAAGTCTCTTCCACTCCACTACTCACTCCCTAAAGAGGATTCCAAGGAGGTTCAATGAAAGACTATGACTCACAAAAGTTGACATCTTTGGTGATGAACTTCCTTCTAGTAGCTTGATCAAGACATTTATATCCTTGTTGTGTAGGAGAATAACCCAAGAACACCTCATGGCTTAGAATCCAACTTTGAAACATGAAACACACACAACCAAAGACCTTAGGAGGCAAAGATAACACAAGTTGCTTTGGATAGAGAATAGAGAAAGGAGTTTTCATCCCCAAAATCCTGGATGGCATTCGATGATGAGATAAGAAGCCACGGAAACTGCATGAGACCAAAGCTTCTTTGGGACCTTGCTTTAAAACAATAGAGCACAAGTGGTCTCAAGTAAATGTCTATTCTTCCTTTCTACAACTCTATTCTGTTGTGGTATGTAAGTACAAGACGATTGATATAAGGTCCCTTCATCTTCAAAGAACACATTTAGAGAACTCTTGAAATATTCAACCGCATTATCTAGACGGAACTGTTTAATCTTCTTTCCAAACTCTGTCTCAATCATCTTGTAGAAAACCATAGTGATTCTAGCATAGTTGTCAAGGCGGGCGCCTAGGCGATAAGGTTCCCTTGGAGGCTCGCCTCACCCAATCGCCAAGCAGTTTTGTGCACTGGGTTATAAAATACTTTTATATTTTTTATTTTTTGACATTATAGTTATAAAATAGACATTATTAAACTAGAATATTCATTTTATGTGTTTATATACTAATTTCTTTTTATTATTTTCTTATTTTGTTAGGGTTTAATCAACGCAAACATTGCTAACTGTTGTATTGAACCCATGGTTCAAAGTTTCGATACACCTGTGTATTGGCAGAGGTGTATCAGTACTTATAACGATACTCCCCCTATTTTTTTATTTATTTGGTTTGCAATTTCATTTTTAAATATATATATTATTTAAAAAATGAGTCCCCGAAAACACCTGTGAATAGGTATCGGGACCCCAAAGATACAATACAATACACCTGATACGGGGTGTATCGTATCGAAATTTCGATCCTTGATTGAACCGTCAAAAATTTCAAAACCTGAACCAATAAGCAAGGGAAGAACTTAAAATTTTGTCTAATCAACACATTTTCTTCTTCTTCTTCTTCTTCTTTCCTATAACAAAAGTAGGAGTTCAGCCCCTATAGTTTTTGAATTTTCTTTCCTTTGTTCTTTCTCTTCTCATAAAATGTTGATTTTATAGACTTAAACATGAAATTTATACTTATCTTATGAAAATTATGAATAATTATTAAGGAAAGATGGTTATGGAACCTAGGGAACTACCCTAGGATATATGGTTTTACTTACAAAAAATCCATCGCCTAGGCGACTAGGTGACAAGGCGCCCCCCTGTCACCTAGCCTCGCCTTGGCACCTTGAAAACTATGGATTCTAGGTACTTCCTCTTGTTCTTTCATCAGGTAAATCCAAGTGCATCTTGTAAAATGATCAATAAAACTAATGAAATACCGATAGCCACCCATGGAAGTAGTGGGTGAAGAACCCCAAACATCTAAATGAATTAAATAAAAAAGAGCCTTGACTTCATTACTAAAACTTTGTTTGTTTAGACATTTGACACACATCACAAAAGACTTTCAAAATACACTTTTCCAAACAACTTTGGAAACAAGACTCTTAACAAACCATGGCCTGGAGCACCTTTTAAGTAACACAACACCCTAATAACACTTTCCTAATGATTAGACCTAAGGTTCTGCATTAACTGACTCAATATACCCATGCTAAAGGATATCACCCTAGGTAAATAAGTTTCTCAACCAGTCTCCTATATCCCTCGGTTAATAGCTCCTCACTATTGGCCATCTTATCAATAAGGTTCATAGGAGTTTGAACTTCCTTATCTCCTAGCAACTCTATTTCATCCAACAAA